GAGTTTTTCAAACAATAATATAAGGTTACATACTGTAAATGCTTTCTGATATTAGGGGTGGGGGGAAAAAAATCGATACTGTGTAGTATCGTGATATTTTGTTTGCTAATAATGTATCGATACAGGGACAGCAGAAATCGATATTTTGTTACAAAAACGTTTTTGTGGACTGAAACATGCTCCGACTTCAGAGCATGTTGATCAGCTCCTTTTTCTGAGCAAGAATCCTGACATTCCTTCAAGTCCAAATGTGTTTAACTCTTTATTTGGCAGCAATAAACATGTTTTATTTTAATTAAGTTTAAAACTTTTTTATTTAATGTAAAATTATATTTTGTTTTAATTTACTTTCAAATTCTTCAGTTGCTGAATGGGCTGCATAGTTTTCACAAATTGCATAGTTTAGAATAGCTATAATTGTACCAGATGGTTGCATTCAGTTAAGTTGGACTAGACTGTAATACAAACTGTTCAGTTTGTCAACAATAAAACTGACTGAAATGAGAGAAAGACTGAGTGTGAGACTTTGTTATTAGATAAAATGAATATTGATAAAGTTTAACTTTATGTACAGAATCTGAATATCGCAAAATATTTTTAAAAAATTGCAATAATATCGTATCGTGGGATGTATGGTGATTCCCACCTGTATCTGATATATATTTTTTTTTTTTGATTGATTACATTATTTATTTTTCTTTGGCAAACACAAAAACATGATTAGTAATTTATCAGTGTTGCTTCCACACAGCTGTGCTGAGGTTTATCTGGAAACTGTTTCAGGATTTTTTGTCTGTATTTAGGTTTTTGGATTCTTGGTGAATATGTACAGTATGTATGTTTTTCACTGTTATTCTAGGGTTTGAAGTTTTGATTTTTGTGTTTGGATTCCTGATTTAATTGTTTTATTGGTTTTAATTCTGTTACTGATATTTGGTGAATCTTGTAAAAGCACAACAAGGGACAAGGGTTGGAAATTAGCAACAGCTCTAAACCCTGAGCAGCACATCAATGATCCAAACTATGTTAAACTGAAATGACTTCATGTACCATGTTTGAATCTGGTTCATGATTTCTTTATTGTTTTAAACGTCAGTTTGATTTCTTGTGACATTGCTGAGTCTTTGATTTCTGTTTTTACGTCACGTTTTTTTGGGTAAAAGACGTTGTTTCGTGATCCTGTGTTTTCAGTATTGTTTAAGTAGGTTGAGCTTTAGCTTTATTGGATTGTTTGAGTTTTGATAGTTCACAGTTCGAGTGCTAGTGTTTGTTATGTCTTGTGTGTTTGGTTCCCTCAGTGTTACCCTGTCTGTTCCCTCTGATTCTGTTTCTTTGATGACTGAGTCTTCTTGTCTCCATGTTTAGTTTTTGTCTTTTGTTTATTTCCTTTCCCAGCTGGCCCGCGGTGTACAAACGGTTCAGTCTCCCTCTTTTTCCTTGTCAAATTGTTTGTCTATGCTCTCTGCTTCCTGTTTTCTGTAATTCCCCGTTAACTTTTTGGATTGTTGTTTTGTGTACTGACTCACTGGCTTTGCAAACAGCCAATAAATATCTTGCTTTTGTCTAACACTGACTGCCTTTGTGTCCTGCATTTTGGTCCTGCTTTACACTCCACCTCACAACAGTAATGGGCCATGACTGAGGCTCAGGTGGATACACAGTTTTAAGAAAAAGAACTGTTCATGTTTAGGCTGTATCATTACTCTGTCAATGTTAGGCAATAAAACACCAAGTGAGCCATAAAATAACAGGCTAATGTTATCTGGTAACCCCAATTTAACAATGAAATTTGTTACAGTGTGAGATTTACTGTAGGAGTACAGGAAACAGAGTTATCTAATTAGTTTATATTATCTCCACATGCTTAGAAACGGCTCGAAACATATTTTAAAATATTTAATTAAAATATTAAGTTAAGGAAACGCTCACTTAGGACTGATCCTATTTCGCGGTGACAAAATGAATGGGACCGAACGTAATGTGTGACTCTAACAGTGTCTCACATTTTCGTATATTATTACAAACATTATAAATGCATGAGATTATAATACAATTATTAATGTGTCCAAGCTGAGACGAACAGTTAGGCTGCAGGCTCCTCACTGAAGGAGTCACAAAGGAGATTTTTATCTCAAAACTATCACGGCGTCCTTGCCGTGTATTAACCTGTATGCAGCCCCACACAGGTTAACACACCTATGGCATCATATTCGAAAGTTAGGAAAATAGATTTTACTGCTAAGTATGAAACTTTGAAACGTATTTCATCAATTTCAAATAACTCATCTGGGTCAGATCAAAGCAAAATAAGAAGCTGACATCTTTCCCCATGAGACCTGAACACTGCACGACTTCTGGTTATGCCCCTCAGGTATGAACTGCCCAATCAGAAAAGAGGCTACGGACCTCTGGGCCGGTGTACAGCCATGATTAATAGGCTTAAAGGATGATTTACAGTTCCAGCAAAAAATGAGAGCGAATGAAAGAAAAGGAGGTTGTGATCTTTTTTCCCCCTTTTCTATTTTTAGCCACAAACCGAACTCAGTTGGGATGTTCAGATCACTGGCAGGGAGGAAAAAGGAGCCAGGGTTAATAACCGAACACGTGACATGTGAATTTATCACATCGGCATGTTAATTTAGTGAGCTAACCTTGTTTAAATCAGTTTCTATTCAGACATGAATATATCTGTTACGGACCATCATGGGCATACTATTGCATGCAATTCTCCAGTAATGACAGAAATAATAAAATTGTTTTCATGAAATTATTTTTATTTGTCTACTGCATAATTACTTTAGTGTGATATGAATGGAAATGGCGGAGGTCTTTACCAGAAGTAAATGCTGTTAAAATACAGTTAAAGTCCAAATTCTATGCTCTCCTTCAGATTGGGCCAGACTGGGGGATTTGGCAGGCAAATTCTGGCCCCTGGGCCTTATGTTTGACACCCCTGTTTTAAAGGCTTGTTGTTTACTAACACGTAGTTATGACGAAACTGTCATGAAATCAAGTCAAATCAAATGAAGGGACAAGATGTTTGTTCATAGTCCTAATTCTGCTAAATGTGGGCAAGTTTTGGTTGGATGCAGGTAAACGGTTCATGAGAGTGAAGGAGTGACTGGATTTGCTGAAATGCTGATTAGGAAAAAGCAGCGTGAACAAAAACAACAGAACTGAATAGAATAATGTATTTATTTTTAGAATATTCTCAGTCTATTGTTTGAATTGGTCGACACCAGCATACACGCTTGTGAATATGATTGATGAGTGTGGTTTTTTGTGAATTTACTGCATAAATTAAATCATTTAGTGCAGATCTTTTTTTCCCTACTGGGCGCACTGGGTACTCAGATTAATAAAACAATCGGCTACTCCAGGATATTACATTTTACACATTTCCCATGTTGTTTTCCGTGTTGTGGACTAATTAGACTGTTTGTCTGAGAATATGCATACTTTAGATTTGAGACATTTGAATATTCTGCTGGGTAGAAATACAGTAAAAACTGAGAGAGCATGAAGACTGCCGAGGGACGTAAAACACGGAGACAATAAATGTGAATTAAACAGCTTCAACTATTGTTGTATCAAACTGAACCTTTGAATGGCGCAATGAAAAATGCCTCTGTTTCCCAGCTGTAATTAGTCACTCACGCAGCCAACCTGAATTACAAGTCTGCCTGAACTTAAACAATGTGGTCCCTGTGTTTAATTGCCTGTTAGGTTATTTATTTATATGAGAAAATGGTTATAATTGCTGGCTGTGAATATACCCATTTTCAGTCATTAAGACAGATGGAGCCGCCTCTTTCAAGGAGGGCGGTGAAACATAAGAGCTTTGATGTGGTTTACAGGAGGAAATCAGCTAGAAGCCATAATTCAATGTCACTGGAAGAATTTTTATTTCTTAATTTGTGGTATTTCCACTTGGAATAAGTTTTTATTTGCACCTGTTCGGGCCAAACTCACTGCTATTGACTCATCCTCTCATTTTCTTGCCAGTAAAAGTTTTTTCTCATCATTAATTGTTAAATAGGTTTATTTTCTGCCAAGGAGAAAGAGTGCAACCAGGAGGCAATACGATAAAAAATTAAAGCACCTACAGCAAAGAACAAAAAGGACCCAGAAATTCAACTCACATCACCACCAATGTTGTTGAACAACATTAGATTAATGCACACATTAACATCAATATTAATATGCCGACATGAATGAGAATTTGGCAGTGACAGAGTGAGGAAAGACTTTTTGTTACACTCTCAGTGTGTAGCTGATGACATGCTGACACACACGGAGCAGATCGCCTTACAGCACATTCATCACAAAGGAAAAACAAAAACGATGTTGCATGATTTCACTTTTTAGCCAAACAGCGTCTCGTTTACAGGGAACACGATTTTGATTACATACTTTCAGGATGAATGAACTGACAAACACATTTACACCTGAGCAGTACAGACGTGACGTTTGATAACGAGGGGAGAAAAAGATAAAGAGCTCTGCTCAGGAAACGTTCTGGAGGGGGCAGAGATGTTTCACAGAATCAGAAACTCAGGTTTTCATTCATGACTCCTGATTTTTCACAAACAAAAATCAAACATACAAGGGGAAAAAGTCAATCAAAGAAAATCCACAAAAAACAGTTTCTTCGACTTTAGGCAGGCAAAGATAAGAAATCCAGTGTACCTTCAAACATTTCAATATGCCAGGTAGGACGTTTATACTTTAAAAACTGTTTTAAACTTTACTTTAAACTTTTATACGTTTTTAGTGAGTACTCTCGGACATTTTAATGGTTATGGTCGTCTCCATTGTCAAAATGATTCTGGTGAATGTATGAAACGGGTAGTTTTACAATTGGGTTATGGTTAGGTTTAGGCATTTGTTTTTGATGGTTAGGGTAAGTGGCTAGGGAAAGCAGTATGTCAAAAAGATGTCCCCACAAGATATGAATACCCGACATGCGTGTGTGTGTGTCACTTTTCCTGCATACATACCTTTGTGACACTCGGGGCAACATTGGCCGTCCTGAATGACAGCCAGGGTGCCCAGAGGGCAAGTACGGCAGGATCTCAGATAACAAGTCACCTGGGCATCGTGGCATTCACACTCACGACAACTGCCATCACTCCATCGAGCAAGGTTCTATAAAAGAGAGGACATAGTATTTGCAGCTGTAAATGGGAGGTTAATGTTCTCATTATGCTTAAAGTGTGACTGCGATAAAGGCTTTTATAGAGGACGGACAGAATGTGGAAAATACTGAAAAGAAAAGGATTTTGACTTTGAAGAAGCTGATTAACGATTAAAAAGGATGCCACACAGAGAAGGCCGTGGTCTGAATGCTAATGAGCTGCATGTGTCCGTTTTAAAAGAAGGCTGACAGTCACGACTCTCATATGTTTTTTGAAACAGAAAGAGTGAACTGACTGAGGCCCACTAAGGGGAGATATTCGAACAGGCGACAGCAGGAATGTCAGTCACAAAGGGAAAAGAGCCTCACATGGAAAACTGAAACATTTCTCAAGAACCTGTGAAGACTTTTCAAACTTTCTACTGTCCACACAGGGAACCAAGCAGATCGCTTTAAAAACTAACGTGTGCCGTCACCTGGCTCTGACACCAGCACTACCGTTATTTAAGAAATTCTACAGGTGTAAGAGCGAGTTTTCCTCATTTGCAGATAATAGGTTTTTTTCCTTGAAGAGTTTTAGACTTCAGTCCTCTGAAGAACGAGATGATCCAAAGCTTGTCTTTAGCTTGACGATGTAAGAGACTGATAAACCTTGATTTTATCAGTCTCTCACATCGTTTTTAAGTTCTGATCCACTCCTTTTTATACAACTACTTCAGTTCATTGATGTTTGTGGCCATTCATTTAAGCACAGCTCTTTTAAGGTCCCATAACAGCCTTTCAATCAAGGTCGAGGTCCAGACCTTAACTTGGCTGATTCTTTTTCTTAGTTGTAGGTTGCTGTTGTAGGTTTGTGGCTGTGCTTTGAATCATTGTTCTGTTGCATGACCCATTTTTGGCAAAGCCAAATGGCCTCACGCTGGACTCTAGAAAACTTTGGTATACAGAGGAGTTCATATTTGAATCAATGATTGCAAAGTGCACACATCCTTCAGCTGCAAAACAAGCCCAAATCATCACCTCTCCACCACTGTGCTGACAGCTGGTATGAGGTGTTTGCCCCGATTTGCTGCGTTTGGGGTTTACCAAACATGGCGCTGTGTGTTATGACTATTTTTCCAGAAGTCTTGTTGTCTGTTTGGATGCAATTTAGCGAACTGAAGTCACGCTGCCATGTTCTTTTTGGAGAGCAGAGGCTTTCTCGGGGCAACTCATCCAAAAAAGCTACACTTGTTTTTCTAATTGCACTTTAATATTTAACATGCTAACTGAAACCCGTAGTGTCTGAGATGTAGCTGCTTTTGCAGCTTCTCTCAGCATTGCACAGCCAGACCTTGGAGTGAAAGTCTGAGACATCCACTCCTGGGAAGATTCTGCTGTTGTGTTAACACACCTGATTGCTCCAGACGAGCACGCTGCCAAAACATCAGCTTTTGCAGAGGTGTTCACATGTGCCGATGTGAAGCATAATTGATTAGCAGCATGTAGCAGCTACCTACCCTCTTATGGATGGAAACCACAAGTTTCATCAGTTTTTCCATTTCATGGAGTCCTTAGAAAACTTTTTGTTTGCGTGATCGTACGTATGAGCACAGTTATAAGTACAAAATCAATCCGAGCTTAATAAGTTTGTTGTTTAAGTGACATTTGTAATTATTAATCTTTGTCTCTCTTCCACAGCATGTCTTTGTCTTCCTCCTCTCACCCCTACTGGTCCCAACAGACGGCCTCCCCTCCCTGAGCCTGGCTCTGCTGGAGGTTTCTTCCTGTTGAAGGGAGTTTTTCCTTCCCACTGTCGCCAAAGCACTCGTATGCTCACATATGGGGTCATATTATTGTTGAGGTTTTCTCTGTTCTCTTCATCTTACTGTAAGGTCTTTATCTTACAATATAAAGCACCTTGAGGCAAATGTTGCTTTATTCTGTGATATATAAATAAAATTCAATTCAATTCAACGGAAGTGAATCTATGCTATTTAATCCCAATCAGCTTTCTTTGCAGAGGTGAGAAAATAACTACCTGTGTGACAAATGATGTGAACAGCTTGGCTTAGCATCAAGAATAAAAGCAAAAACTTTTTTTATTCAGCTTGATCGATCTGTGCATGACGAGAAATCTAAAAATGTTATGGTGCCAGCTGATTTCTGCACACTCTTCTCTCACTTGTATTTAATCCATCTTTAAAACTTCATAAGTTAAAAATGATTTGGTCAATTAGCATAAGCCCCCCACACGCACAGTATAAATCTGAGCTGGGCTGAGAGAGAGAACCTTGGCTCAACAGGACACTTTATATTCATATCTGAGATATTCTTTTATGCAGGGCAGGTTGCAAACCTCTTTTTATTTATTATACTTAAGGTTGTAATAAAATGTTCCCATTTAGACCAATCACAGCTTCAAATAAACACCTGAAAACTGTTTCATTTCTTTCAGTTTCCCTGTAAATAGTCTGTTAATGTGCCTTTAAATCAACCAGAAGATAAGTGTTGGGTAAACACAGTTCATTATTCTAACTCATTAACGTCCCGAGCTGTTATTTTCCAAGTCACTCGTGAATTCAAACCAGTAATCATCCCGTCACAAACCTGCAGCTTTAACCTTTCGGTGACTCTCTCCCATCACAGGAAAACTCCAAAGCTGATACAACCGTGTATAAATGTGTGTAGGCGCGTAATAAGTATGCAGTATCTATCTGTTTTTATTTACTCGTGGTAAGATTAATTCCTCATGGGAACAAAGAACAATCTATTCAAAAGGATAATAGTTCTCCCGACACTCGCTCTGAGCCACAGTGTCGTTCACCATCCTGCAGCGCTACATTAGCATCGTCCCCATCAATGTGAAACAATTAAAGCTTTGCATTGTGGTTTTCCAGGTCTAACCTATGAATAATGAAGCTGAAGAGCCTCTAAAAGAACACAAACAAAAGATTGTGACCTAAAAAGCCCTGATTAATTTCACAGCTCTGTCTAAAAAAAACACACATGTTCCGTCTGAATGCAACTGTAATTTCCAGTGTTTCGAGTTTGTGTTTGTGTAGCTTAATAGCGATGTGTTTGTTTTCGTAACAGCCTCCTCTGCAGAGAGACTTCATGCCACTTAGCTTCTTTTTTTCTTATGTAAAGGGAAAGAAGCCCTGTGGAGTCTTCGTCTCTCCCACACAGTAGGAATTCTTTGCCCGATTTTGCAATTTTGTTTATAAGCAAACAAGCTCAAAGTAAAATCTACACTTGTGATAGAAGTACCTTGTAGGATTTTCCCTTGTGCACACAGGAAGGTTTCGCAGACGAACACTCGGGGCAGCATTTCCCCGGCAGGTTAACGAGCTCAGATCCCTGAAAAAACAAAGAAAATGTACATTTTTATAAAATTCTCCTCGTGAAGTTACAGACGGCAGCTAAAAGAAAAGAGTACAGCACAAGAGAAAGCTATTTTGGAAATGATGAAGGAGAATAAAGGAGTAACGTGGAAAAGAAAGAGAAAAAGAAGGAAACAGGACAAGAACAACGAAGGAAGGGGTAGGAGGGAGAAGGGAGTATGGTTGGAAAGAAGGAGGAAGAGAGCAGTAGACAAAAGAAAGTAAATTAATTAAAAAAGACTGGAAGAAGAGGCAGACAAAGGGAGGGAACAGAAAAGATAAAGGAAAAGAGAGCAAACCAAAGTATTTGCTGTTAATCTTCACATAGAAAAACAAGCCAAGATGAGTCAAACAAAACTCCTGAGTCATCTAAACAGCATAACGTGATGGTTATTCAGCTATAATTTGATTGCTGGTTGCTACTTATTAATAATTTAACTTTTTCCTCAAAAAAATTACAAACACTAGGAACTATTTTCTCTGCACCAAACTCCACCCACCAAGTTTCCTCTGCTCACTGAGGACAAGAAATTGGAAATCCACTCGTGTTTGTGACAGCATGACCAAATGAAAGTATTGCTCCATCCTCTTGAGATGTTAGGTTAGCTGTCGGGTACTGTAGCTACTTGATTCCTGTAAGTGGTGGATGTTGCTCTAAAATAAGCTAAACTAAGAGCGACAGTTACTCAGCTTCTCCTGGATGGCTCTGCAGAGAAGGCGAGCATATTGTTGAATGGATCAAGTCATGAGAGTAGTGGAAATCATTAAATATTTGACAGTTTTGCAGCCTGCAGACAAAGAAAACTGCCCATGATATCATGCATCACATTAAAGTAAGACGGTTACGTTATTTTTACTGACTGCGCACAAATTACTGTCTTTTATGCATTTATTGACGTAGATGGACTGAATGTGGAAAAACTGAGATATTGTTGAAACTGCACTTGTGTTTATGAAGATATCTCAGCTCCAGACAGCTGCATGCTTCCTTCTGCTCAGTGATGAGTTTATTGGGTGCAGTTTTCTAGGGAAAAAGCAAGTTCTCCATTAACCTCTTCCCAACAAGACTCATGCATTACTATGATTACCTGGGTCATGAGGGAGGCGCTGCTCCTGTGGTTATTTTTGGCACTTTGAGCACTACACACCATTTAGTTCCATTATATTCAAGTCATGGAAGTCATCTCTATTGCAGATATCATCAAAATCTGGCATCTAGAGACGGAAACTGCTTCTGAAACTTACCAATTTCTCCCATGTGTTATTGATTTTAATGGCTCCTCCTACACCCATACGCATTTCAACTTTAAGAAAAGATGAAACTTGGAAATAAAAGATGCATGTCACAGTAGTAGTATCCCAATACTGCAGTTTTCTAAGACTAGAAGTCCTTTCAGTACCATTACAGTAGGTACATTATTAGTGCAGGAATCATAAACTGCCTGTATAACTGTACCCCAGTGCCTTTCGCCGCCTCCTGACCTACACATCATTAAACCCATAACCTTGTCTTAATTGTTTTGTGCACACACACTCACGCGCACACACAAACACACAGTGGAAATTGGCTCTGTCTTCTCTGCACGGTGACCTTGTTGAGTTCAAAGTTGGAAAAATGCCAGTTATGCTACTTAGAGCTAACGACACTTAGCAGCTGTAATTATCGCCATACAGCATGATTAATGAGGGCTTATTTGGTCGTGGTCGGGGATATTAAAGCAATATTATTAAATCTGCTTGATGTAAAACTGGATGAGGTGTTGAGTCAACGTGGCGTGGAGCCTAAAGCAGGGGGACTGAAGCAACTATGGGAACACCGGCTAATAACTTTAACAAATCCTCTAGGCTGTTTTGTTCAAACACACTCACCTACATTCCTGCCAAGTCTGACCTTTGATGACTTAACATGAAGGCTATTATTGCTTCAGCTGTTGCACTCTGACTTTTAAAGATCCTTTTAATAACACTTTACATGACGTTCTAGACCAGGGGCGTCCAACTCCAGTCCTCGAGAGCTACTGTCCTGCAGGTTTTAGACACATCCTTGTTCCGACACACCTGAATCAAATGAATGGCTTGTTATCAGGCCTTTCCCAACCTTAAGGGCATGCTGAAGAGGTAATCCAACCATTTGATTCAGCTGTGTTGGAGTAGGGATGCATCTAAAAGCTGCAGGACAGTAGCTCTCGAGGACTGGAGTTGGACACCCCTGTCCTAGACCAAACCCATCTGATGGAAACACATATCAAAAAGAAAAATATGCATTTATTAATATTTATATTTCAAAACACTGGCATCAGTTCAATAATGTAAAAATGTCATTTTTACAGTGAGTTTAAGGACACGGTCCAAACTGTTCATCCAAAAGGACATCATGCTGCGGTTTACATGGTTTGCATTAACAGATACATTTTGAATAAAAGAGGAAATCACTATAACTTAAACTTAGACCATTCCCAAATGATTTTGGATCAAATTTAGCATCTTTGTATTTCCATAGACTAACGAGGATGCTAACTAGTAGGACCTTCTTTTTCATCATCATGTTCAGGGTTTTCATCACTGCACTGTAAACTTGTCTGAGTCCATCATGTAGTAGAAACTACCAGGATGGGCAAAAATACACTTCTTTGCGTGGTCTGTATGTACAATGTAACAGGGATATATTTATATGATTGATGTGTATTTTTAATATGACTGTCAATTCTAATGTGTGTTTTCTACAACATTAGCTGTAGCTGTTAAGCTGCCAAATACTCAACCTCGACCTACAGTCAGCAACATAAGTGTTTAGACCAAGGATAGGCAACACTAGGCCTCGAGTGTCGGTGTCCTGCAGGTTTTAGATGTGTCCTTGATCCATCACAGCTGATTCAAATGGCTAAATTACCTCCCCAACATGTCTTGAAGTTCTCCAGAGGCCTGGTAATGAACTAATCATTTGATTCAGGTGTGTTGACACATGGTGATATCTAAAACCTGTAGGACACCGGCCCTCGAGGTCTGGAGTTGCCTACCCCTGGTTTAGACAGTGACACAGTTGTTATAATTGTGCCTCTGTACACCACTGCAGTGGATTTTAAATCAAACATACAAGTTGAAATAAGACGAAATCGCCTGACTCAAAGCTGAGAGCTCTCAACTTCTGCTTTTGATGGAGATGTAACTAAAACATTTAAACAGATTTTAAGACATTTGATACGTTTTAAATGGTCTGGCATTTATGTAGCACTTTCTCAGTTTACTTCACTACAAGCCACATTGACACAGCACTTTTTAATTCCTGCATTTAGTGCTTTATGTACAACGCATGCTGTTGCACACCCACAGGTGCATCGGGAGGGAATCTGGTGCTTAGTATACTGCTCAAGAATATTTCAACACATGCTGTGAAGAGGTAGATATCGGAACAAAGCCACAAACACCCAAAACTTATTACTTAACGTATTGGTAAAAGTGCATTTTAGAGATTTTAATACCTTTTAAGAACCAGTAGATACTCCATATTTAACACTGACACTGTATTACTGTCTTAAGAGATGCTATGCATTTAGCAGAGGGGTTCAGCCTGGGGTAGGTTTAGTGTAGCTGAGCGCAAGTCATATTTTTCATCTAGTGACAAGCTCTAGGGCCAAGTTTCTTTCACAGACCATTAGTTTCATCTTTTCTTTCAATTTACTTCATCTCAACTGAGTGAATCACCTGTGATGGAATCAGCCAACCTCATAACCTCAAATGATCGCCCTTCCTCCCATTCCACCAAAGTGTACGTTTAAACTGGTAAATTTCACTGTGGCAAATACAGGAAACTGAACAAAGTAACAGTGACATCTTCCATTAACTTTTAAGTAGCCTATTTAAAAGAAAGGAAATGGGATTTCAGGGTGCTGACAGGTTGCATCAATAGGCCAAGGGTTTGACAGCAAGGGTAAGCCTTGAGGAAAGGTTAAGCAGGGGGGGGTCTGCAGGAAAAGCATAGTTTTATATGATCATAAAGGAATCCTGAGACCAGTAACGATGCTGCAAACTCAAAACTGAGATCATAAAAACACAAGAATAAAATTATACAAACATCGAACACAGGTATTACCCATTAGCAGGAACATTAGGGGTAATTATGTAAAGAAAAGCAACACAGCCAGAGTGACATGTTCATTTTAAGCCTTCAAGCCTGTGTATCATTCAGGTTGTTGAAGGGAAAAAGACACAATTGTCTCCAAAAGCTTTATACATGCAGATCTGTTGGACACAACAGCTGTGAGGAAAGAGCTCATTTTTGAACCAACACGCTGGTGACCAAATCTGAATGACAAAAGCATATTTAAAATACAACACATTAGACTAATGGTGCTTTGTTTTCAATCACAATTCAAATGTTCCATTTACAAACTGCAAACAGCGCTAACTTCTCATCACAGGATGTTTGTCTGTTTTGCAAATTAGCGGGTTCATAAATTTGAACCCTTTATGTTGGGAGATGTTTTTAGAATTGGTTCAATTAGCTGAAATGTTCATTGTACCAATGTTTATAAAAACAGCTTAATGGTTTACTGGTTTCACCCGACATCAGTCTAACCATGTGCTTCCAGTAAAACTGGCACAATGTTAAACAAATCCAGGAAGGTGTGTCAGTGAGGGCATGTTGCTATTAAGATTATATGATTATTAATATTATGAAATGTAACCTTATGAATGGCCACCAAGGCTGAGTCATATTCCCGCAAGCGTGTGGTGCAAGGAGGAGGAAAATTGTAACAAAGCTCAAGAAATAAATAAAACGGAATTCAGGGAACATGAGCGAAGACATACGGTTAAACTTTATATTAATAAACTACTGGTGACAGCATGACATTAACCAAATAGTCAGTATAACAGCAAAGATTACAGAGCTTTACTGTAACTTAACAGTGAAAGTTTCTCGATGCATTTTCAATCATCCAGGTAAGTAAATCTCCAAAAGTTGATTCTGTTCATCTGGACGCAGCGTTTTGTGGGAGAAACGTTTCGTCACTCATCCAAGTGACTTCTTCAGTCTCAGCTGACTGAGAAATTTCTTACAGTGTAGCCAATCATGTCAAAAAACTGAAATACTATGAATTGCTTTTTCCTTAGATCTTACATACACACATGTTAAGTGATTTATTTTAACCACCTAGGACCTTACGTCCACATATGTGGACACCACATTTTGGGTCGTCTAGACCAAAATACTGAATTTTGCTCTACATGGGCCTGAAATCCACTTATGACGACATTATACTGCCACTGTTATATCGAAATTTAAAGTGAATGTCCTCACATGTGGATCTCCAAAAATTTTTTTTAAAAATCTGGTAATTCTTTGTTTTTGCATTCATCAGGTCCCAATCAGCCCAAATATCAAAGAGAAATTAAAAATGCATGCCATGAAAGAGTTTGGGTATTAGGAGGTTAAGGCCTATTATGGTTTAGAGGTCATCAACAGACTCTAGGAACCTGATTTACATAAGAAATGCAAAATTTAGTTTCATCTAAAAAAAAAGAGGACTTTGGCTCTCCAAGCAGCAGCCCAGTTCTCTTTTTGCTCAGCCCGTCGTCTCAACACAGAGATTAGGGATGTGATCGCAGGATGGATGGTAGGAGGACGATCATCACCTAGACAACTATGATGTCGGCAGTCTTCCCCGTGATTTTGGTTGTGTGTACTGAACTAGATAAAGAGATGCGTGCCATTTATACTATCTGAATAAAAATCTAATCAACCTCAAAATAATTTGAGATACTCAGTTTCTGATTTTATAAGCTATGAGCCATAAAATATATCATATATAAAAGCATCCTGAGTAATGTGTATATGTATATATAAAAGTTTACCCTTTTGAATTAAATAAAAATGCATAAATAAACAAAACTTTTTTCCGAGATGCAGTGGGATGTCTCAGCGCCCCTACAGCTGTCCTGCTTATGTGGAAATTCATTTAAAAAAAATAAGAGATGACCGTTTTCCAGCCTAAAACAGAAGCTGTGACCTGAGGAAATGTTTGTGAATTTTAACCTTGCATCCACAGATTTTTAAAATCGGGCCAGTTTTGCCTCTGGGCTTCAACGAACATTTTTTTTTCCCTTTCGGGCTCACCTGTGGGCATTCGACACGTCCACACTCGGCCCTCTGACAGAGGACCTGACCCCGGCTGCAGGTACAGAACTCGCAGCCGGTGCTGTTCCACATGTCTCCATGGTAACGCACTGCGCCCTGGTACTGGCAGCTTCCCTTAGCAGCAGCGCATTCATCACAGCACTGCCCGGCACGCTTCACTTTGGTCTGCCCCTGTTTGGAGGCAGGATAATGTTATTTACAGATGATGAAAGAATGCAAACTGAGCAGCGGGAGAAGACGACGGAAATCCAAGGAGCTTATAAAAATGCTGGTTTTGTGCATCTCTGTTTCAGCAGAGAGAGATAAGAGGAGCGAGGGAAGAGAGAGTATGTGTTTTGCATTATTAAGGGGAAAGACACCAAGCGGAGTGGGCCGCCAGACCGTTCTTCTAACTTTATTTGAAAGTGCACAGAGGTGTGCTTTTCCTGACACTGCAGATGTCACGCTTACTCTGTGTCTCAGCTCTGACAGCTACTGTAGTTTATTTTGACACAATCTCACACAATCTCACAAAACCATCAACTGCAGGACTTTGAAATATCAGGAAAAGTGGATGCAAACTGTTTTCGAGTCATATTAAGAAAATACTTTAAAAAATAAATAAATTACACATTTGTGAACCGTATAATGTGCAATTTTATCAACACGTGATTTACAGAAATGTAGTTTTCCTGACAAACATGTGTTTGCAGGGAGCCCGAGGCCTGTCCCATTGCACGGCCAACACACAGAAACAGACACTTGCATTCACACCTACGCCCTGTTTAGAATCACCAACCTAACAGGCATGTCTTTGAATTGTGGGAGGAAGCCAGAAGACCTGGACCAATCACATCCAACGATCCCTTGTTAGCAAGGTGACAGTCCTAACCACAGCACCGTGCAGCCCTTACTTAAGAAAAACACCTGCAGGTTTACACTGGCTTCCATTACAATGTAGAATAAATGTTTAAATCCTGCAGCTAGTTTATAAATTGCTCAAAGCAAAGATATATTTTTTATGTGCCTAAAGAATTTAAACTCATTTCGGCTTTAGAGCGTTAGTCTGACTTTTTTCAATGGTTTTTTTGTGCATGTGTGTATTTGGTCTTGTGGGTTTTGTATTTTCTTCTTTGACAGCATCAACGTCACATCTTCTTTTTTTCCATTTGATAAATTTTCCCCATGTTGCACTGGTAAAAAATACTTCCTGGATCTATTTCTAAGTTGTGTCAAGCATCACCTCTGGCAAAAATGTTCAAGTGAATCTGTTTTTTAACTTTCTGGGTAATCTGGCTGTTAAACTGATAATCTGAAGACTTAGTTATGAAAAGGTTAGCTTAGCGCTGGGGTGGGTTGGGTAAAGTGTCCAGAAAATAGATCTGAGGTTCAGAGATAGTTAGCGATGCATGATACTGTCAGTGTGTGGCGACTTCTGCATAAAACCGAATGTCAGCGATTGTGTGCATGAGACTACTCACCTTGTCGCAGGTTATGGGTGGGCAGGTTTTAGTGTGGCATTTAGATTGACCCCGGTCACACACGCACGTGGTGCAGGTGTTCTTCTGCCACTGCTCACCGTGCTGCCAAGAGACACACAAATACACATTTAGACCATCTCCAAACCCACACACACTTTCAGGCTTACACACAGTGAATCACAAGCTGTTTGCAGGAAACTCACAGCTCATTTGAAACCAGTGAGCGCCTTCTTTTCTTTGAGAACAACAATGGGATGTCTCTGCAGTGTGAAAAGCATACAAACACGGAGCCAGCCACCAGATTTCCACATGATTCTCTTTAATTTGAAGACTATAACAGCAGTGAGCTCAAACACTGAATACACAACTTGCACAGGAAATGTGAAGTATTGAAACAGTTAGTTAATGAAGTATTTGAAATATGTATGAAGCATATTATTGAAAGCAAACTGGACTTTTATTGTGTAGGTCACCTTTGTGCAGTCGCTGCCTTTTGGAACATTTTTAATGGATTTTTGTGACAAAGAAATATGGCCTGCTATGTGCAATTATCCAAAAAGCCAGTGCTGCATTTTTTGTTAGTGAACTTTTATTTATTAGCCTGTTACTTCACACTAAATAGAATTTATCGGTGTCTGTGGGTTGCACCAGATACTAGCTTTAGGCAATAGCTTAACACTCAACCCTCTGCCGCAAACATAGCAACCTCTGGCTTCAAAAACCCAGAGGTGTACAGGCACTTGTGTTAAAAAAATATTCTGGTAAAAGCTGAAGTACCGATTAAACTTCTTTATTCAATTAAAAGTGAGAAAGTCCAGGCTCGCTCACGGTTTTTACTCGTTGAGAAATACAGCTGCTGTATTTTTAGCTAGCAAAACACCGTGTGAGAGACTGCACAGAAACAGCTGATGTTTGTCGAGCTGATAGAAACTTGAATTTGAAAATAACTGCAAACTAAAAAAAAAAAAGCAAGAAAGTTTACAGGTTACTCTCTTTGTAGCACTAGCTTGACACTTGTACCGCAAACACAACTTATGAACTGCACCAAAAACGTTTAAATGGGCTTGACGTTTGCAGTCACACAGTGTGCACAGTGCACCTGCTGTGAAAGCTGTCATGGTGCGTGGCTCTGTGTCTGAGGAGTGTTTGGGATGCCCCGGTGACCACACCCTCAGGTTGGGCCGTCACCATCACACCTGCATCCCATTCCAGGCGATTACGAGGAGGAATATTTAACCCTGCATAGACGGTTGCTCCACGCCAGTCAGTGATCACCCCTCAGTGGTTACTGTCCAGCCTGCCACCTGACTGTCCTGCTGCCTGCTTGGCTCTCAGAGTGTACCACCTGACCTCGTCTCTGCCTCCTCGGATTTACCTCCCACGAGTCCCACGGTCCGGCTCTGATCGTAAGCCAGATTGCTCTAGCCCAGTCTTGTTGTGTCACTCCATTCCCCTGCACACTAACAACCGTTTCCCCTTTTCTGTTGCAGCCTCCCACAGTCCCGATTACAGCTTCCCTGTGTCCTTTGTTTTCCTGGTTTCCTTCAGTTCTGCGATTAGCCTCTCGCCTCCTGTGGTTGTTCCGGGTCACCTTTTGTTGAATAATAAAACTTGTACTTGCTCGCACTGAAGCGTACTGAGTTTACTTTTGGGCTCCACTTGATTGCGTGAACTGTGGTCCATGACAAAAGTGTAAGAAGTAGAAAGTACAGATATTTGTGTAGAAATGTTGGGAGTAAAAGTTGCCCAGTGCAGAAACAAGTGGGTGACATCACAGTGGCTACGTCTGTGTTTTACATTCAGCATTCAGGTGTGGACGAGTGTTATCCTGCTGGCGGAGGTTGAGGATGTTAGGAGGATGTTACTCTCAGTGTTGTTGGTGCATTTCAGGAGGACGCTGCTAATAAAGTTACACAAGTACACAGTGAATTTGCGTTTATTATTATATTTACAAAATATCTGTTTTTTGTGTTGCTCGTATCATTTTATTTTGTTGTATTTATCTGCGACACCTTAAAAGGCCAGTCTGTGAAAATATGTCTGACATTAAACCGGTCCATGGTGCAAAAAAGGTTGGGGACCGCTGCCTTAGAGGAGGGTGTGCTTGATCTGCAACACTTAGGTGGGCACCACATGAATGCTAAAGATTCCCACCAGAGCACTGCAATGACATCACTTTAGCTTTTTCCCGGTGCAGTAACGCAATCATTTAAAATCATAGTTCTTTGATCTTCCTTGGTCTGTTGTAACAGGTATTTAAAACAGTCAGCAGCATGTTAAGCTGCACTTTTTCTACAATATTGTTATTGTTGTCAATGTTAATCAAAAACGCAAACACACAAAACACACACAGAAAAGGACAAACAGCTCTTATGTCATTTGGTTATTATTATGTTTCTTGGTCAGCTGTATCCTTCACAAACTCTTCCTGCAGTGATCGATGACGGGTTTCAGACGCATCCATTTAATTTGTACCTTCTTTATAAAGTTCTGACTCCCTTTCAGAGAAAACATTTGCTTGTGCGCTACGTTGTCATGATACCAAAGGAAATGTCGCACAGATGTTCCACGTCTGATGTGTTTAAGATCCTAAACGTATTATCTGTTTAAATTTAAGGTCAAATTCTGTAAATGTCAGATTAAATTCCAACTTCCTTCCTCCTCCACCCTAAACTGCTCAATTAAATATTGATTATAGCCCAGAGGATGCAAATTATTTCATTATTTAAGGCATCAAAACCCTGTGAGGCACACTGTAGAGCTCTTTGAACATAACTTGCATGAAACTCTCTTTCGTATGCATGCGTATTACGAAGTGTATAATAATGATCTATATCACAGAGGTCCAGACTACTTCACTCTCTTCTGAACAACCAGGCTGATTAAAGGACAGCACAATAAATAGCTTTTAGGATGCACAATGTTAATAAAGTCTTAAATATCTGGAATCTTGTGCTGTATACATGCAGACACACTTATTTACATTTCCTATAACTTCATCCACGTTCACATTTAGAGGATTTCTGCACCAACGATGGAGACTTTTAACAGTCACCACAGATCCCATGATCGTGTTACAATTTTGAGGGTAAAAGCAAAAACGATGCCTGTTATAACCCATTATAATGTGTCCTTTGATCCTTTTTGCCTTTGTGAAGTTTAGCTCGTACTACAGAGCAGGTTAAACATACTCAGGACATCTCTTTTGAGTTTAAGTTATCTAATAAAATTGGTTATGACCTTGACAGGCCAACCCAGGGTTTATAGTGTAGATACAAGTTTATATGACAGTATGGCGAACAGACGGAAATGCAAGCTGAGGAGGCCATAATTCACAAAGTGGATCAGACTATAATATTAAGAACAGCACAAGGAGCTAAACACATAAAACAGGCTGAAAGAAGTGTGACTGAGAGGAAACACTGAACAGTATATACAGTATTTTTAAATGCTGTATGAATGTGTTTGAACTTTATTCTGTACTGGAACACACACGAGTCTATTGGAAAGCTGTCAGTATCGCAGCTCTCTATCATTAAGACAGTGGATGAGATGAATGTGAGACGGTTTTAGCTTCTTTCAGCTGCATCACTGATGGTGTTAAAGTGTCTAAGTACATAATTCAAACACAGGATTAGCCAACCAACACATTTTACACAAGGTAAACAAGTAAAAGGCTCGCTGTAGGTGTTTTATAATCATATCGCTATAGAAAAATAAAAAGCCTTCTTCTATTTAATGTGCTTTTCAATATTTACTGATCTCTCAGAGTGCTTTGAGTACAAGTCACATTTAAACATATCCACATCTACCACTTCTACAATCTCATATCTATGGCTAATTAAGAATTATTAATTAACCTAGCATGCATGTCTTTGTACTGTTGGAAGCTGGAGTAGTGGAGGAAACCCACACATGCCACGCAGAAAGGCCCCCAGCTGGGGTTTGAACCAGGAGCCTGATTGCTGTGAGCACCAACACCTCTAACCATGCCACCACTGTGCTGCCCTCTCCCTTATAAATAAAGTGTAGAAATGAAAAATGGACACTGGAAATCGTGAGATTGGATTCTTTCCATTTTTAAATGTGAGAATTAGAAATTCTCTCTTATGTATACTACATGTGTTTTACACACACACACACACACACACACACTTACAATAATATGTGTGTGTGCATGCCGATGTGGAGGCACTCATGTATGGACTGTATAGCTACTCAGTTAGGTAATCAACACCAGAGGCAAAGCATCACAATTCCTTCTCTTATCCGTCAAGATGACGCCAACATGAATGAGAGAGTGTGTGTGTGTGTGTGTGTGTGTGTGTGTGTGTGTGTGTGTGTGTGTGTGTGTGTGTGGTAACGCAAACACACATTAGATAGAATGGGACATTCTGTGATCAAAAGAGAAAGTTGGCAGTGAGCGAGATGGGAGCATGTGCACTGCAAACACAGCAGGAGAGGAGGAGGAGGAGGAGGAAGAGGAGGAGAGACGAAGGCTCAGACTTTTCATGTCAATAGAGACATTCACATATTCACTGCATGCATCATATTCTCACTATCATCACAGATATTCTAATCAATGTTTCAGGTTTCAAATGTATAGATTTATGAGCCGTTATCAGCTGCCTCCAACACACAGAGGCTTTGTAAACCACAGGATTCACACAAATCTGCACAATAACAGGTGCATACACAGTACAAGCACAGTTCAAACACCCACAGGCTGCCTACCTGGTACTGTTTTCCAGCTGACAGACAAGGGTTGGACACACACTGGGGACAGCACTCTCCTGGCTGGATCACCAAGTTCTCATGCTGAGGAAACATTGCACACACACAAGCACAAACCCTCTCAGATTACCGTTATTTCACTGTATTTCACACAACAAAGGGCATATAAGCTTTGACAGTACTGTTAGCCCACCTGACATTTTAGCAAATACAATTACCAAGAGGTTGATAAGATGAATTTCATCCTTAGCACAAAGCCAAACCACCTTGCAACAACTTCAAACCTTTCTTACTTGCATTTCATTTTTTAACACATGAATATTTATTTAACCTGTGAAGGAATAAAAAAAAGCACTAAAATAGAAAAAAGAGGTGTCTATAACCCAAGAGGCATACTGGAATTTAAAACAGGCTCCTCTATCTTTAGCATTTCAATATAATTTGTTTCTTTTCTAAGAATAGCTGAAATAAATATTCCACTTTTGTTGTGTATTTCGGGGAGTTTTCTGTGAGCGGTGGCAGAGTGGAGCAGGTGACTGATGCAGTGTTTGCAGGCCTGGTCTGTTGTGATGAGAATACAGGTGAAGGTGTCAGTGTTCCTCTCCTCAGCCATGACCACGAGCTGTTAGTCACCGAGAGTAAAAATACGACAGAAGCAGCGAAAATGAGTCTCTGCGCTTAGCTTTAGACTAGAAAGGTGGTGAGCTGAGGGATTTAGGAGGTAACAGAGGAAAGCTGACTAGGATGGATCCAAGACACCTCCTTCCAAATCCTTCTTTTAATGCAAGTAGGTTTAGTGAATTAAAAAACAGTGACTGCCCACATGAAAATTAAAGATCAAAACCTCTTAAAATTGTGTGTTTCTGTAAACCTACCGGTTTGCAGGCCACTTGCTGACACTCTGCTACTGAACACTGGACCTCTCCATTGCTGCAGACACATCTGGAACAGAGGCTGGGCTTCCACTCCTCTCCATCCCTGTAAACGATCCCCTGCCAAGAGCAAGACTCTAACAAACACACACACACACACACACACAGATAAAAACTAAATGAGTAAATAGTGTCAGGTAATGAGCTGACAGTTCAGGCATTGTTTGCATGCACACAGAGTGATTTAGGGTCAGGAGAGAAGAAAGAAAGTAGTAGCAAATTAGCTGCTAACCACTGGGATGCATCATAGCAGCTCAAAGACGTCATTACAGTCTCGATTAACCTTTCAGCTCCAATCTGGCTGCTCTGTGCACTCTATAAACTCTGAGTTTGTCACAACACATCTGGTCTGATCCAAGTATATGAGCGATACGTATAAAGAGTTCATCTCTAGTAATCTACTGCATGTCTGACATACACCAATCTGATATTTATGATTGGATATCGGTCCAATCCTCAATCAAAAGCAGAATCGGGCAAAGGTAAAAATGGGCTGATCTACAGATACAGAAAGTTATACTCCTGGATGTATCTGTTTGTGCCTTTAGGTCAAGCCTGATGTTGCCTTACATATTAAAGAACTACTCCCAGTCTATTCCTCAGGGTGAGGAATGCAGCTTATTTAGCACTGATAGCACTGCTCAGTACGGCCAACAGTTTCACTATATCCAGTAATTAAAACATCATTCAATCAGCTGTAAGAAAGGCATTTAAACGCATACCTGACTAAGAACTGCTTTGCATTTTTATTGCTGTTTCATGTGGATGGATACATCTTTAGCATTTAAGCATTTGGACATTGGGATTAATTAATCATGTCTTCCTGAAGCTAATACTGCGGGAAGAATGTTTTAATAACTTGTAACCTTTAAGTTTTGGAAAATAATGCAGTCACACAAATCACCGCTGGCATAAAGTTTTCAGAAAGAAATCCGAGTCTGGAGCGGCTCGTCAAAAAAGTGTCAGGGCCCGGTCAGACTAAGGAGTACTGATGAAACATTGGGGTTTTGAAGTTAGGAGATGATAATGTTTGAGGTTGAGGTGTTTTCTCTTTACTTAGTGGTTTTTATTCAAAGTCATTAGTTAACCTGCTGCTGGCGGATGCCTGAGGTCTCACTCAGGCTACGTCCACACCAATGCCTTTTTGTTTTCAAACGAAAACGATGCGTTTTCTCTCCCGTCCACACTGAGACGGCGTTTTCCCCAAGGAAAAATGCAGCGTTTTGAAAGCGCTCTCGAAAACGCTGCATTTCAAAACGGAGCTGTCCCGTCGCAGTGTGGACACTCGAAAATGCAGACTTTCGAAAACGATGACGCATGTTGGTCATATGATGCAGTCATGTGACGACTTAAACCAAGAATTCGGTGCTTTGTCTTGCCATTTCGCCGCCACGTTTCAAAGAGCCGGAATGTAAATAATGACGCAGATCGAGTCGTCCTGCATTTCACGCATGCGCGGAAGTGTAACGTCAGCGTTTTCGGCTGTTTTAGTGTGGATGTGCAACTCATTGAAAACGACTGAAAACGCTAGTGTGGACGCGGAACGTTTTCAGACGAAGACGCCATTTTCAAATCCATCCGGGCTAGTGTGAACGTAGCCTCAGTCGAGGCGAGGCAAAGCATCACTGTCAAGTAATAAGGGTTTATTCCTGTGTGGACAACATTTACCTGCAGTTCTCACCTAAATGCATTCGGTCAGCAGATTCATATCTTCTACTTTTTCAAGTCTTAACTTAGTTTTGGAAACAGATACAGCAAAAGGATACGACACTTTATAGATTTAATGAAGCTTTGGTATCCGAAGAGCTACGGCAACATTCACCTTTGGTGCAAATGTTGAGACACATTTCAGACAATAAAGACAGAGGCTGATTCACATGAGTCATTTGTTCACTGGAATATAATTTTCATGTTTTAGCAGAAGGGTGCGCAGCAAGATAAACAGGTGCCAAATATTAAATTGCAGACAATTAAGTAGAAAGCTGTGTCTTTGCGTATGTGTCCTGTTTCCTGTTTTACTTTGATAGTCTGTGTCCCATGTCAGTGTAGCCTGCTTTGCTTCCTGTGTCTCGTTATGTCAGATTAGCCCCAGCTGCGCTTCCCTCCTGTTTCCCATTCCCTCGTTACTCCCTGCCATTTTTAAGCCCTGTGTTTTTCTCTGGTAGTTGTCATATTGTACCCTATAGTGTTCGGGTTTTTGTTTTGTATTCGTAGTAGTGATTTCCAGCAATAAATTTCCTGTGCGTGAGTCCTGCGTTTGGGTCCTGCATCCTACCTGCCACAGAGCAAACCATGACACAAAGAATGTGACACATCTGCAAAGTCTTTCCTTTTTCATTTACTCCTGAAAACTAACAAAAAGAAATCATATCCATAGTCACCACCACACAGTTTTGCTCTGTTTGCATATATCGTACTCATCCTACCCATTTGTAGATGTCCTTTCAGAGATATCTAAAGATCAATTATTGTCTAAATTAATGAAAAGAAGCAAACAATTTCCATGAGATGCAACATGTTTTTCATGTATCTACACAGAGTTATGATCATTTAAAAGAAATCTGCGTGGAAAAAAAGCGGCACTTGTAATCTACAAAGTATGCTATGTGTTAGCCCTAATTTAGCCCTCACCTCCATTGCTGGCACACTTGGGGCAACACTCCCCGGCTGGGGTGAACAGGCTTTGATCCCCGGGACAGGTGAGATGTGGGCAGGGGCGAGTGCTGCAGGATACGCTCCCTCCGGAGCAAGTACACACTGAGCAAGGCGAGGGACTCCACTGACTGTCATGCTGTGGAAATCAAAGAAACCAAGTGACAGTTACACAGAGAAATACAACGAGGGTGCAAAGAAAAAGACGAGGAAACAGCAGAGAGACAGTGACAAGAGGAAAGCTGTTTTCTTTCTGTAAACGTGACGACTTTGTAAGACTAAGCCTGAGTGACAGAGAGCAGAGTCGCAGAGGGGCAGAAGATCTTCAGAACAAAGAGAGACCATGAGAAGAAGCGATAAGGAGCAAAACCCTGATTAAAATATAAGAGGGTGTATGCGAATGTAGATAGGGAGGCACGCTGTGAAAAGGCATTGCCTTAACATTTGAACGCTGACATGCATATATCTAATTCAAGTTTGTACTAAACTTTAAGTTGACGACAGCTTTTCGACTGATAGCTAAACTGCAGTGCTGTAAGCCTGTTGGTGATTTTCCCAGGCTTTTCTTCACACATGTATGAAAGAGTTATCACTTCAGGCGAGTGTATGTTCATGCAAACCATGAAGATGTTTCTTTTCTGTGACTGACAGAACAGGATAGATTAAACAGTCATTCTGAGGTATTACAGAGACTTCGATATCCATCTGTTATACATCCATTTGTGGATACCGTGGAAGACCAGAGCAGTTCTTTCACTCTAAATGAGATATCAGCAGGTCCATCATGCCTGCAGTCATAATGATAGAAGTTAAGATCTGATTTCTCTCATTTTCAGAGGTGTCAGGCTGAGAAACCTGCATGAAATCCTTCTTAAACCTTTGTAAAACACCTAATTAGTCTTAGGTTTAATGAAGCATTTATCCAAATTCGTTTTCACCCCAGGAAGAAGTCTGTGGCAAACAATTAAGAACTTTATAGTTTTACCAGCCAGGATATTTTTCCCTTATTTTCAATACTGAGGGAAAAATCTGCCAGTGATGTACTGAATTAAAATTCTGTATTATAGCTCTTGCAGAGCGACAGTTCAAACTCAGAAAAGTCTCCAAAGAATGCAGTTATATAAGGATCATCATCCTGTGTGACCTTGTATTTCTGGAAAAAAGGAAGAAGTCATCAGTTCCAGACTGTGTCTCCTGGAAAAGGAGCGGCAGCAATGCAATGTTATTCTTTGCCCTTCAAAGAAGATGCAGCAAAACTCTTAAAATGCTATTACTCCTCTCCAAAACTCATCTCTCCTCTCGCTGTTCAGATCCATGTCAAGTGCTACTTCACCAGGCAAGCAATGCCAACAAACTCTTTAAAATCATTGCCAAGAAAGACCTGTTTCTCTTCAGGTCGTTTACTATCCAAAATGGCAGCCAACGTCATTAAACTAGAGGACACTTGATGGAAAATGAAACAGCCAGAGATGCTTTTGTCAGGGGGGAGAACACTAGCATTAGTTTTTTTTGGAAGTGACTGAGGAGTTGGGTATTGAAGAGCGGTTACAAGTTCCAAACTCATCAGTGTCAAATGATTGATATGAGCCTGTAAATGAGGGCAGAGAAGGAAACAGCAGGTTCCAAAAGAAAAAAACAACTTTGATGAACTAATAAAAAATGAAATAAAACTGAAGCTGTTGCTGCGTTTGTTTCCAAACAGTCAGACACTGGGAGGCATGTCTAAATACCCGAGTCAGGCTGACCTGTCAGCTTTGTGAAAACACAGGATTAGACTGACTAAATTCTTATTGCTCATAAGTGATGTCAGAGACAATAGAAGCGAGAGCCATTGAGAACTAAAGTCTTTATAAAATATGTTTAAAACCTTATTTTGGGGCAAATGCAAAATATTTTAAAACATTTTTATTAGATTTGACTGGAGATTCAATGCAAGTCCTTCAAATAACTACAGCATGTCGAGATGAGTCTACAAACTCTACCAGTGCATGAGCTGAATGACTTTGGTTTGTTCACGCAGAACATTTTTTACTTTTTGAGTAACTTTTATAATATTTTTTTTAAGAAAAGGGTGGCATACAAGAGAAAACACACATCTATAAATGATTACTGGGCATGTGTCATGGTTCAGTGTCGTTGATGATTGCGTCATGTGTTCTTCTTTTGTGTCATTCATTTTGTCCCTGGTTGCCTTTGCGTTTATTTCCTCCCTCGGTGTATTAAGTTGATTCATGCGTTTTCCCCATGTAGTTATCTCACGTCTTACTTTATTTCTTGATTTAGTTTTCCTTGTGCTTTTTTGTTACTTTTGTTTCCCTTGTCTCGTCATCTGGGATTTAGTTCAGCTGTGTCTTGTTCTCCCCAGGTGGCCTCCATTGCCCTGATTGCCGTTCTGTGTGTGTATATAGTTGATGTTTGCCTTTATTCTTTGGCTTCGTCCACACGTAGCCGGGTATTTTTGAAAACGCAGATTTTTCTATGCGTTTGCACCTTTCGTCCTCACGTAAACGGCGTTTTCGGTCACTGAAAACGGAGATTTCTAAAAAACGCCTGCCAGGGTGGAGATTTTCGAAAACTCAGTTTTTGCATTTACGTGTGGACGAGGAAAACGGAGAAAACGCAGCATCAAAGGTGTGCGCCTTTTTTGACGTCACACTGTGCGCCACGTTATTGTTTCGGTGAAATGAATTTCTACAATACTGTTAATTGTACTCTCTGCAGTGTTTAAATGCTTACATATACACACAGTTACTGTCCCTCCACACATAGGACTCGGTTCTGCTCCTGTGCACCAGCTTTGTTTACTATTTCCCACTGAGGCTTCTAGACTTCTGATTGGCCAACATTTCTACACAGTTAGGAATATATCACCACCTGTTGCTTTGGCATGTTCCTAGCAGCGTTATCCTTCATTTCTGCGTTTACGTGTGGACGGGATTATTTTTTAAAACGAAAAAAAATACCAGTGTACGTGTGGACGTAGCCTTTGTCACAGGGTCTGCTCCCCTTGCTTTGCTGTTTTCTAGCCCTAGTGTTTTAAAATTTTAGCTTTTACCTTTTCGTATTGTTGTCATCAGCCTAAATAAATGGCTCGCTTTCAGTTCAACCCTACTCTACGTTCCCCACGACCGTGAAACAATGACATTCCAAGAAATAATGCACTGCTTTTACAGACTTCATTTTCCTAATTTTAGGTTTTCCACACAGCTTTAGAGCCTGGCTGCAGGGGTTTCCTCCCATTTAACCATAAAAGCATCAAATGCTGATGTTGGCCCAGGTCGCGGTCAACCTGTCGGTTCACCCAAATGAAAGTTGATGAGGTGAATCGTCTGTGCAAACCGATTGTCACTTTCTTTGTGAACCTGAGTTTGTGCCATGTTGAAGCAGGAAAAGGGATGAATTAGGAAAAGGAAGACAATGATTTAATAAACTTCTGGCAAACTGATCTATAGCTGCTGCATCCTGGTGTAAACATTTCAACCCTGAATAATTTGTATGGTGAAAGAGAAGCAGCCATTTTTATAATCACTTACTCCATAAATGACTCCTTCGTACTGGCAGGAGCCCTGGGATGAGGAGGCGCACTCTGGACAGCACTTGTTGGTGTGGATCCTCAAATGCTCGCCCTTTTTAAAAGACACAAACATGAATAGACTGACAAAAGGAGAAAACACACTCAGAAACTCAATCAGAAAGAGGAAATGAGTTAACCAGCATGGATACATCACATTTCAAATATACAGCCTCTCAATTTCCATGAAGATCAACTGACATGCAACACATCAGTGCACAGAATAATGAGTCAATGAAGACTATCAGGAGCACACAGCATGTGGAATGGAGGTAGTAAAACATATGCAACACAGAGTCTTCTAACTGCGCTGCCCATTCACACTAATTGAGGCCGGCTGTGCAGCAGGAAGAGAACGTGAAAGCGGCGAGAGCCAGACGCAGAGCCTGTTAGAGGTTTCGGTGATGTTTATGGAAGTGACATGGAAAAGAAAAAGGAGGAGGTGAGTGCGATTTGTGAAAGGGAAGAAAAAAGATCCCCCAGAGCTTTCAGAGTGTGTTTTTCCAAATGAAAAATGGTAGGGAAAAAAAAAATCAAATAGAGATACACTGAAGCAGCATGAAAGACAAAATTGCATACAAAGACCCGGAAAAATGACAAATCAGTGTAGAAATAACAAGTGGGCGAAACAAATAGATGGAAATTGAGCTGTGCAGCAGGTAATAGTTCTCCCCAAATAAAGAAAAAGACAGAGTTCATATCTTAGCTGAAGCTCGCCATTAATCACCCAGCAGCACACAAAATTTAGAAGTAGAAACAAGCCCCCGAAGTGAATTTTAACAGCGTCTTCAAACTTCATCTGTCACAATGGCTGATTGTGCAAATAAAATAAACATTATGAGATGAAGCTCCTGGATGTTTTCATATATCTGGATTCTTGATTCGGTGTCTCCTCTCCCGAACTTTTCATCTTTTTTTGTTTGGTTTCAGTCCCCCGAGTCCCCCCGCGCTTTTCTGTCCACTGCTTAAAATTGAATCACCATAACTGAATTTGATCCAATTTGAGTTTTATTGGTGCAAACAAACAGACTGTTTAGGATCAAACAGAACAAGAGTTCATTTGTCACCAGAGTGATGCTTTTGTTCAATATTTAAGGCAATTACAGCACATAGGCTTCTGTAAAACACTGACGAGCAAATCCCTGCATGCAGATAAATGGCTCTGCACACACGCTGTCATTTCTTTAGGAATAGTATCAAGATTATTTTGTATTAATGGCAGCTTTTCCAGTTAATTGTTTACACAGAATTAGTCTCTATTTGCTGGGAAAATGCCACTTTCCCAACAACAATTTGAAAGATTTGCCAATTCACTGAAGAGGACATGCTGTGACCGATGCGTGCATCTGCTGAGGCGTTTTAGAGCAGGTTCAGTAACATTTGGGAAGCCTTCATCATTTAGGCCACTGTATTTTAAGACTAGTGCACTCTATAAACATGAAGTCAGACTTTAACCAGCAGTGGTTGAAGTGGGAGCTACAGCATTTTTTACCTTGGACATGCAGAATTCACTGCCACTTCCTGCTGTTGTAGCCCGCCTGTCTACCACAGGAGAACAGCTGACTTGTCCCCAGCGCTACATGAAAAACATTCAGTGAAACTAAGAAGTCGTTGGCTTGGATTTCGAACATAATTCACTAATTTAACTGAGTTTCCTGCCTGTGTTTCAAAGTCTCTACTGTGCAGCTCAGGCTTTCACCTCCATCTGTCTCATGAACCGTGGGCACATTGGAGGCCGGCGGTAACGAAAGCAGCACTTCAGTCTTGAGCTCTTCACACATCTTTGCTCTGAGTCGACAAACTGCAGCTGAACTGTGAGCTCCTCTCAATGTGATTAATTCAACAGTGATGTTACCAACCAGCTTCAAAAAGTCGAGAGTGCAGCCGAGTCCCGTGTCTTACAGGACGATCGTGTGGCCATGGGAGCAAAAGACAGGCCTGTCATTCTTTGGTAGCAGTGCTCAACGTGAGCTCATTAATTAGTGTTGCCGGTTTGGGCAACGCAGGCTTTTGTCATCCTCTTATAAGCAAAATAATCATAAATACAAATGAAATACACACGTGCACGTCAACCTCACAATCGCTCGCTGTAGTGGGTCCTGGCTCTTCCAGCACTGAGATGCTGTGATAATAAATTGTCTGCTATCCAGGCATCTCGAGGCATTTTAAGAGACACATTCAGAATGTATGAAACTCATTTCTCTAATGTTTCCTGAATGCTGTGGCCGTCCTATTAATCGTCTTTATAAGCTCCTGTATCCATTAACAAACTTACATGTTTAAAAATGCCTTCATACTATACGATAAAGTAAAATACCATAAAACAAAAAAAAATGCCATGATGTTTTCTTGGTTATCTTTCAATTGTGCAAAGTACATCTGTCTAAACGACTGATGTCATGGTCTCTGAGTCAGGCACCTTTGGAGTTTCTATTCGGAGGTTTTTTATTGTCCTCGTTTTTGTCAAATGAATTATGTTCAGGTTCATGTGAAGCCTAAAAAGCTTCACATGTTCCCAGTCGCGTTTGTCTCCATGCAGTCAGACGCTCATATTTCCACATGCTGTGTCGCCTCTTTGTTACCCGCTGTGCCAGTGAGATACAACTAAGAAGTATCTCAATCTTAGCACTACTAAGATCAAGAACCTGATACAGCTGATGTCTGCTTTCAATTCTAGCATTTTGTTATAAAAGGGTCAGAATGATTGCATTAATAAATGGAAAACATTTCCTCTCACTGTTATCTGAGTCATAAAAGGGGAACAAAATGTTTTTTTTTAAAAACTATTACCGCTCCCAATGGTAAAAAATGTTAATAGTTTTAGGAAGATTCAGAATGACAACATGATTATAGAGTAGAACATATTCTGTTTTGTTTTTTTCCTCTTTGCAATTTCAATTTCTCAAACGTTTTCTGACCTCCTTTGGAAGCTAAAAAACGTTCATGCCCCACACTTTCTATTAGTCATTAACATTTAAAAAAAGGTTTCAAATCAAAATTTATTCAACAAAAGGTCCTGTAGTAGCATCAGCAAACTCTTTTTATTTTACCTAATAATTTTATTTTTTCACACGATTTGATAACAGCGGCTTAAAAGGGATAAAAGCCACAGTGTCATCATCCGCCGTCAGTTCACGCTACACAATATGCGGCTTTAAGAGACAGTGAGAGGACTCCTTTGCAGATCGAGGAAAGCTGATTAACCCACAGTGTCAAAAGTTGCGGGCATTTAGTTATGCGTTTTAGGAAGGTCACAGTGGGAGGGGGTGTTAAGCTTGCAGATAATGGCTTTGGATTTCAAAAGAAAGCCTCATAATCGGAGACTGTCCGATGATAAAATCTCTGAAGCTTTATTTCTGTTTAATCAGTGTAGGTGAGAGGAAGTCACATTACAAGAGGTTTTTAAATGGAGAGGGAGCACACAGCTCGCTGAGCATGATGACTAATTTTTAATTAACATTGGATTGCCAGGCAGCGGAGTGGAATTCATTAGACATCGATTGTTGCCTTAGCTCAGAGTTGGGATTGAATCTGATGCCGTCACTGCAGGCTTGATGTTTAGATCACATCTGAGAAGAAGCACGGGAGAAAACATTTTTGACAATGTGTTCATGTGAATTAAAATGGGCCCAAAGAAAAGGTGCTGGAACGAACGCTCAATGAACATTTGTCATTGTGCCAAATTAAATGGTGCAATTGCCAGACTCTAGGGCTGGGCGATATGACCCAAAATTCATATCTCGATATTTTTTTAGCTGGATGGCGATATAAGATATATATCTCGATATTTTTTTTTTAAAGCCATAATGTAAGAACAAAAAGAGAGTTCTTAGTCAAAGCTGTGTCCCAGATGTCACACAGGCACTTTTATTAACATAGAGCAGATGTACATAAAATTTACTCAAAAATAAATTATGAGCATTTATTAAATAATAATGCTCCATAAATAAAAGAAAACAATGTTGTTTTTGTGCATAACAAAAAGCTCACAAATGTGCAGTCAAAATGTAAACTAAAAGACGAGCACTATAACAAGGACAGATTTCACAGCTGCTCTGTTCCCAACTTGTACTGCGTGACTGACAGCCTGGAGTTTGAAATCCGCTTCGCAACCACGTCTCTTAACAGGTGCCATTTATGGTCCTTATACACAGTAAGGTAATATTACGTTGAAGCACAGTACGTATCACTCCGAGGCTCAGCCGTAATGCTCCGACAATCCATCAAGCGCTGCAGCTCCGTAGCTTACCAAAGTCGTACTAAAACATTTTTTGACAGATTGCTGAGCGCCGTGTTCCACATAAAATCGGTGCGCGGCCATCAAGCACAACCAGAATTCATACATAAGGCGCGCTGTCAACTTTTGAGAAAATGAAAGGATTTTAGTCCGTGCAGCACCTCTGGGCTGCATGGCGTTAGCGTGGTTAGCTCGTTAGCGTGGTTAGCTAGCTAACACGTTGACGCCGTCCAGCCCCACGCACGGGGTGATGCGCAGTAACTCGTTAACGGATTTGCCGTGTCCATCTTGTCGCTTCCTGCAGGTGAAGCGATGGGGGAGGAGGGGGAGTTGTGTTCAGTGAAGGAGAGGCGAGGCCGAGTAACGTTGCGTAAAGACGAAAGTGGACGAAAGAGAGGCAAACTTGCGGCTCCGCAAGTATAATTATAACGTAACATAGACTATATCGATATAAAGGATATTGTCACATCTTATATCTCGTATAAAAATATATCGATATTTTTTAAAAACTCGATATATCGCCCAGCTCTACCAGACTCTGCTGCACAATAGTCTGCCAGTTCATGAATTCTTGTTGTAAGGGCAACGCACAAAGGAAAGTGATTTAACAGGTCCTTGAAAGTGGATTTGTGCTTGTAAAGAAGGAGATAAAAGGAAATAAAAATATCACAAAGCAAAGGTGAACCTCCTGAACTTCCAAGGCAAGGTTAGGGCTTAATATGAATTTCAATTGGAGGGATGCTGCTTTCGTACCTAAAAAAAGGGTAACCAACGTAGTTTAATGGCTCGAAGACTGATTTGTGCCGCATTTGGGAGATTTATTTTAACAGGTTGAAACAGTAACAATTGTGTGGTCTCTCTTTAAGACAACCTAAGTTAATGTTTAATGATGTCACAAGTATGTGCCACTGCCCTCTGTAGAGTGTGGGAGAAACATGCTTGCACATGGACGTATGGACTGAGATGAACCTCATTTCTTCACCTCACTAACTCAAAGTAACATTACCAGTTGTACAAACACTGCTCGCTTCATGTATGATAAGACAGCAGCCGAATTCCCAGTACCAGTGTCACTGTAAGTTTCTAGCTGTCAGGCTAAGTGTTTCTGCTGCCTCCTCTCAGCCACTGAATAAAACCCATGTTGTATTCAGGTCATTGAATTTCTGTTTACTTCTGTTTATGCACCAAAACTACTTTGTTAGAAGTTTAAACAAAATCTGCACGAATACAGCGTATGCTCCAGTATGACTGCCGTGGGGTCCTCATCATTTATCCTTTACTGAAGTCTCACTGCACCACGGCACTAACACCTGTTTGTATCTCTGAGGTTTTAAAGAAATGTCAATGTTTGATGTCTTCTTAGTCCTCAGTCATGCGAACTAGCAACTTCACAATTTTAAAGTTAGCATAGATTTTAAGCTGAATAAATAAGCTAGCAGATTTCAAAGAAGATTTCAAACCATTATAATAATGTTAATAACGTTTGCTTGTTTCTGCTAACAGTCAGAGTCAGACTGCAGTTGTTTGAACACAGTTAGTCTCCCAACAGGCGATCCTACAATCGCCTTGTTATAAAGAGTGATCCTCCAGAGGTTGTGGGTGTTGCAAGCTCAACCTTTGACCGAGCAGCTATTTGCTACAACCACTTACGATTGTCTCTGACTGTGGAAAATTCAATGCAATCACCCGGAAAGCCCCAATTTTTCATAGCTTCAGGGAAGTTGTCTTATTTTCGCTCTAATATAAATGAGCCATAACCCAAAAACCAGAAGCAAAAGCTGCCATGTAACAAACAACATTAGGTAACATCACTAGGTAAACTGATTGATTGCTCACCTGGACATAATAATTACAGGGGACAAAAAGAAAAAGTGCATATTTGTCAAATGTAAAATATCTTACCCTCTGCAGGTCACAGTGGGGGTTGGGACAGTGGGTGGGCCCACAGATGGCCACATCACCATAGCAGGTACACTCCTGACAGGACTGCGGCCTCCATGACGTGTTGTTCTGTCGAGACAAAGATTGAAGCAGGCATTAAAAATGGCCGAGGTCACGCTTGGTTTATCGCTGCAGGAAAACAACATTACTCGTTTCATCGTCGCCATATTTAAACACACCAACAAGTCATTTGACGTTGACAGCTGGGGCAGAAGACTGCAAACACACAGGCCTCTTTGTACATAATAATCTAAGAGAAAATGTTTGCTTGGCTCACTCACTTGGAAATTTCCAGGTCTGGGATTGAAAAAAATAGAATAATAATAATAATGAAACTATCCTAAGGGACTTTACTTTCGACTAATTAGCACAAAACTATGTGGTAATTGAGCATCTCAAATACAGAACACGAATATGAAATGATCTTAAATGTAATTTAAGCTCCATGTTTGGGGGAATCGCACCTCTCTTGCTCACTGCAGTGGTTTGTATGAGCTCCATGATTATGGAGTAAGGTTTTACTGCTGCAGTTTACAAAATGCGAGCACCACCATAAGAAAACCATTTCACATTTTGAACTCTTATCATCCTCTACACTTAAGGTTGTAAAACACTGAAGGATTTCTGCTGCAGGTAGTGTGAAACTACTTCTGTGTTGATTAAAAGCCTCGAACACCATGGCCAACTAGACAATGAGATAGGGCAAAAAGGCAGAAAGTTAGAGATCAGCTCCGCCAGCTGGCTTCACCCTTTTGGATGCCTGCTATTTGTCAATAGCTCATAACACCTAGCTGACGATGTCTGAGCTTAAAGCCAAAATGAAATCAATATTCCAGTGCCTGCATATGCCCCCCATATATCATCTTACAGCACATAAATCCAATTTAGCCAAATGATTAATAACCCACTCATGACGGGAGTGTCCATGGGCAGATGTGGCTATGAAGTAGAGCCTTCATGGAGAGGTGGGGTGACTGTCCATCCCAATGGCTGCGCTTCATTTAAAATGGTAATTTAAGCTGTGCTTGCATTTGTATAATGGTCTTATTTTCAGGATCAGCTGTAGCGAACAAGCCGAGGCAAAAAGAAAGAACTTCAAAGGTTACTGCAGGCTTGGATCTGGCTGCAAACCTCAGCACCACTTCATAACCAACAGGAAATCACTCACATCATGTCTAGATTTTGTTCACAAATGACATCCTTAAACATCAAAGCTTTAGACATACAAAAGACCAAATCAGATCATGCACCCTTCTTACATATGGAGACATTTATTTTTAAATGAGGAGAAATGAGGATCTTAAACTAAACTTGCTATTCATCCATCCAAAAATAAGACAACAGTGTTGGCATCAGAAAAGTGAACTCATCTTCACCGTTTCACTTCAACAAATCTATTTATTGAACTTTGACAAGTATGATAACAAGTGTGGATGTGTAAAAGCAACAACACTTCCATAAACATTACCCATACTGCAACCACGTATAAAAAAGCGGAAATTGGATAAAAGACATGACAACAAACTGCTATCTCATCTCATCATCAGTTGACAGAACACCATTAAACGCAGAAGACTAAATAAGATGGCTGCACACGGTTTTATTGCTTTATTCTGCACACGCATCCAAGGTCAGTGATCTGCTCCATAAAACAGTCTTACAGATTGTGAGATGAAAATAACATGTTAAATACAGCCCCAAATTATGTGCAGGAGTATTTATGGAACGTTTTACACTTAGCTGTAGCTTCCAGGTCTGAAAAGTGTGTTGTTTTTCTAATGGATACAGAGGGCCAACTTCTCTGGATGCAAAAAGACTGGCTGCAGAGAAGTCTATGATTGTCTTTGTTCTATTGACCTCATTAAACCATTTTCAGAAGACCTACTTGGAAAAAAGTACTTTAAAAAGTAAAACACGAAAGAAAGTCGTGCATTAAGCATGCAGTCCAATGTCAGAGTAGTTATAGGTTACGTTGAAAGACACACAGGCAGAGATGAGAGAGTAAAAATTTAATTAGGGACACAGCCAGTGGAGGTGAAAGACACACCTGGAGAGAGCATGTAAGTTAACGCGCTCCCTGTAGTGCAGATTAAACTGTTTATGCATCTGCGTACATGTGTTTAATTGTGAGTTTGTGGATGTGCAACTCTGCACAGCTGTGGCCAGATGTATAACGAGCTTTATGTGACAGCAAATGAGTCATAACAAATCTCTGCAAAGAGTATCAATGTTCCAGGAGGGAGGAGCGACCTTCACAAGGGAAGGGAAGGTGGGTCTCAATCGAATGCGGCAGTTTTCCCAAGTAGGCATTCCTTTACTGTGACAGAAACACACACGTGATGAAGCAACACTGACAACGTTCAAACAAACACCCTGATGTAGGAAGACACGTAAAGTAGCAGCTTCATTTTTCTCAAACTACATCAGAAGACCAATACAACTTTAGCCTTACTTCAGGCACGCCTTGAGGTCAAGTTCATCCACAATCCCCATCGATCAGCTGATCTCAAAGCCAGCAATCAGCTGATGCATCAGCCGATATCCTGCTACACATTCTATTAGCAAAACTAGAGGATCTGCTATGTAAGCTGCTTTAACCTGCCTACTTAAAGTGCACATCTGTAAGCTGCTTTGCAACCCACCTCCACCTCCCTCCTACTGCTGCTGCTCTCCCAGCTTTCAACCTTCTGAATATGTACATGTAAGAGCAGAAACGTCTGCCAAATATAAATTGCTGCAAATTCTTGACAACAGAAGCACTGACCCAAATGAATTTTATATACTGTATGAACCCACATTCGAGTGTATTGCACACATATTTTCAACTACAAGAAAAAGCAATCTAGCTACAACACAAAAGCAGACTGCCTCTAAAAGGCACACAGTTGTACTCTACTGTCCTGAACCGTCTCCGAGGTCACCTGTTCTGACTCCACAGAGCAGTTTGTCACAGCGAATATACTGCTCCCTCTTAATCTCTTTGTTATAAAAAGACCAAAGATACTTCCCTCCTGGCCTTTTCTGAATGTGAGGTTTAAAAGTATGGTCACTGTGAAAGTGTGACATCCTGACCGTAATTCAGAAAAGATCCACCATACCAACCAATCTCTCTAAAACGATGATCTATTCTGTGTCGCATGGCCTTCCGACAGATTGGCCTACAGGCTAAAAGAGGATCAAAGCAAACATAAAAATGGGAAATTATTCTGACTGGACCGGAACAGCAGAACCGCGGGCTCCTCAACAATTCTTTCATTTAGAAAAGTGATTGTTATCAAAAGTACTGGAATACAAACGAATACAAAGAGTCTTGTTATACAGTAAGATAAAGACCCTACCTGTGTTTGCATGTGCCGTATTTCTACATATGCTCACATTTAGCCACTTGTTATACACTAAAAAGTGGCTAAATGAGACCTGATGCGTCAGACTAGAGACCGTAGAAGCCTACCATTAGCATTTTAATGCTGACATTTGCACTTGTCATAGAAAATGGTATTATAGTAAACAGAAACCTTTAGGGGTTTTTTGAAATGTTGATCAGATGGATTTGTACAGATTATACAAAACATAGTACCAACATAGTAAATCTCATCAACTTTTATTTCTCACAAAGATTATTTTCTGTAAAATATAATTTTTTTCACTAAAGGAATCGGTTCAAAGTGAACATCACTCAGCATTATCATATTCACAGCAAAGTTATTTCGCTGTTATTTTAAAAGATTTTTTAAAATAAAACAAGCATTTCACCCAAACGTGTTACAGCACCTTTTCCCTAACACACACACACACACACACACACACACACACACACACACACACACACACACACACACACACACACACACACACACACACACACACACACACACACACACACACACACTGGGTGTATTTTGAAGGATGGGCATGTCACATTATATTAATAACCTGTAAGTGCAAGAAAAGGGCATCATGTGAAAGATTTGGACAGCTTAAATATAATTTAGTTAAAGGGGTCACTGGGGTTAATAATAAGCCTGTGTGCATGCAGGTATGCCCTCAGAAATAACTTTCCCATTATGGCTCTGTGGCTGCCATTCGTGGCAGTGACTCATTCTTAATAGAGCTGTGTAAAATTAGCACAGCAGCTAATAGCATGGGTGTCTGACTGCATTGGCACCGGGGTGCCGCGGCTCAGGGGCTGAGTCCATTTCAGCCGAGGTCTCGGCCAGATCCAGGAGGTTACACTCTGTTGCAGATCTACGTCGTTTGCCTCCTGAGTGTACGACAAGCCAAATGGGATTGACCCAGAGTTCACTGTAAACACGGACCTCTTAGAGAGGATAGGGCAGGAGGGCAAGGATTTCTCAAGAAACACCGACTCCCTCCTGCTTTGACACGTCCGAGCAATGGGAGCTATACAGACAGCAGTGTGAGCGGTAGTAGCAATTCCTTCCCCATCCCCTCCCAATGAGACTGTCCCCTATAGGAACCCATACCTGGGATTCGTTGATTAAACATCTAAGGAGTTGAAGGCTTATTTCATTCGCCCCCTGGAGAAAGAGCTCTGCCTCAGATTCGATTTAGGCCAGAGCCAGCTCAGCCAACATGGCTGAATGTCTCCAGTTTCATAAAGAAGAAAATAGATCCATAACTTTCGCACACAGTACATTCTGGTCAAGGCTTTCTGCACGACAAAGCAGTTTGCAGTGTGGAAGTCGAAGTGGAAGGTTGCCAGGTTTCATTACATCCCAAAAAGAGCCACTTGAATGAAGTATAGGGTATCTATAGTTAATGTCAAATGAATAAATTATAAATAATGATGGATTTTTCTGCAGCGATGGGAAGAACAACACTACAAAAAGTATATGATAAATTATTTTGACTAGAACATATTCAGCTTATTATTGGTTTGTTTGATTAATCTTTCCAGCTTTACTGCAAAACCAGTGACTGTTTGTGGGGATATTTATTGTTTATGACCATTTCTCTTATCGTACTGCATGCATACGTCTCACACTTACAAGCAGAGAGAGCACAGGGGACGCCGTGTTCTTATCAGTTAAGTGGAAAGCTAAGTGATG